AAACCTGATCTCCCAAATGTGTTAATAATTGTTTGTTAAAACTTAGAAGCAGTTATCTTCGGCAGGGTGTGGATTTGATTTTGATCTGAGTGGTGGCAGCAGTGAATATGCGTTTAAGCATTTCCCACATGCCATTTTCTGGAACAACCCGTCCCCCTTGGGGGGGGGGGGAGAGCGAGAGCTGGCATTAGTTTCACTAGGGAAAAAAGAGGCACAATGCAGATATTTAATATTTCTTGCTCTGATATAGGGGGGGTTGTTTCCTGGTGTCATCCCTGGGTTCCAGTAGAATTTATTATTTGTCAGTTGGTATTGTCAACTACTCTTTTGCATAATTCTCTTAAAGATTTCTACAGTTGTATAACTAGCACAAGCGTGTGTGCTTGTTTGTTTGTTAGCAGTAAATAGTCACAGGAAAGAAGGGTTGCATCCTTATTGTTGGACTGTTGTTTTTAATGCTGTTTGTCAAATAGTGTTGGGAAAACATTTCATTTTCCCAGTTTTTGGAATAAGCAGCAAACAATGTAGCCTGTCCATCTGCTTGCATTCTGCTTAATGGATGGTTTGGCATTCAGAAGTCTCTGTGGATGGCCTGTTTGGATGGATTTCTGAGAAGGCAGAGTATGTGTATTGTGCTTGCATACAAAATACAGTTATCCAGCGAAGTCTTCAAAAGTGCCTTTTAAGTAAGTTGCTGAGGGCTGCTATATCATTTATTATCAAAATTGTCATTAATCAAATTATTATTTCCTCTTTCACCAGAGCCCTCTGCCATCTCAGAGATTCTTAGTGGATTTCTTGAGCAGTCACTTTTTTATTAGCAGATCGGAACTTTTAAAGAATGTTTCTGAAGTTTTATTACATGCTATGCTTTGGGATTAGGACTTCTTTAAGTTTTTAAAAGGAAATGAGTGTTCTGTTTATTTCAGTTTTTCTGTCATTTCAAAGATGTTAGTCTCACAAGCCAAATAAATAGTTTTGGCCTTGGAACAAACCAAAATATCGAGTCAGTATTCTTCAACACTAAAATCACTTTTAAACAGTTATGTTTTGTCTCCCTACTAGCCCTTTAAATGATGTACTCCCCACACTTTTGGGTACATAATGTGTTCTGATGGAACCTGGAAGGTGATGCCCACTACAGATAATCTTCTACCTGAGCTGCTGTCTCATTTTTCAAACTCTTTAATGAGGGGATTAGGGATATCCAAAAAGGAGAAGCACTCCTTTCACAAAATACCAGAAGATGATGAAATGAATGCAGTCATCATAAGTACCCTGAATCCTCTGCTAACAGATAGAGTAGAATTTGTATGTGACACACACATATATTCCCTTCAGTAATATCCTGGTTAAATTGATGTCTTTGACAAGAGATCTGCTGCTCATAAAGCAGAGAAGCTCAGGGAGGGAAAAGCAGTGGAGATTTTAGACCTGTGCATTGGAGCATTTTAGCTGAGCAGGATGGACATGCTTCTCTCGATAAATTGATAACACTGCTATGTGGGCTATGTAGGTGAAGCTCCTCTGAAATATTTCAGTAAAAATACAGTCTGGTTACATCAGTACTTTTAGCAGCGGGAACTGTAAGAAAATCAACAACCCATGCAGGGGCTGTGTGTGTGTGTGTGTGTTCTTCCCCATTACTGTAGAAGAGAAAAGTCTAAGATTGCCCTTAATGTCATCTAACTCAAAAAATTACCATTCTAATTTCATGCCTCTTTGTTATGTATTCAGCGTTTACCAATATCTAGTTGCACAAGAAGGGAAAGGTGATCATTTTCTGTTGCTGAGCTTTATTGAAAACCATCCATAAAGACCTTCGAAAGAGAATACTGTGAAGCAATTGAACCAATTTAAATGAATGAGCACATGTATTGCTGCTGCGTATTCCTCCTCCTCCTCACTAATCATTGCTGACATATTTGTGCAGGTACTTCCACTGTAGTGTTTGCAAACCACTGAGCAAACCTTTCCTCATGCAAAAGTTACCATCCCCGTGTCGTATCACACATATCTGCACAAGTGGCAATTCACTGCATCAGTCTGGATTTTCATCATATACAGATGGCAGTATTTTGCACTTGATCTGTCCTCAAGCTAATCCTTGAGGACATTTTTTTTGTTTGGTTTTTGGGCAATATAATTGGTTTGTTTTTTGGCAAGGAGATGGAATAGAGATGGGATATATGTACCTTCCAGGAATAGAGCTGATTGTAGCACAACCACTCGTAGCATTTTCAGGAGCAGTAAGATGGTTGATATTTTGAGGATGCTGTGGCCTCCATCATTTCCAAGATACAAGGGAAGGACCAGGATATCTATTATGTCAGCAGTGAATGTCTTATCCCCTTCTTCTGCTAATTGTAATTCTTTCCCTCCCGCAAATGAGTGTATCAGCATCATATTTGACATCAGTCACAGATGGAAATGTCACTGTTGTTTTTGATGGGTACAGCACTACCAGTATTAAATATCTGGACAATGAAATTGGCGGGTGTGAAGCTTGTTGTGAAATCAGTGACTTTTGAGTAAATTACTCTTTCTGTCAAAGCAGTATTTGTGATATTTCCATAGTGTCATTTAATGTGGGTTACAGCATCATTGTTTGTTTATTTTATTTATTAAATTTGTATACTGCCCTTCACCTGTAGATTTCAGGGTGGTTCACAACATAAAAATAAAAGATTAAAAACCATTATTTTCATTATTTTCACAGTGAGTAGGAGCAATGAATGAAATTGCATTAAGAGCAGAAAATATTTCTGCCTTGCAAATGAGTCCAGAAAGGTTACTAGTCAACAAACTTTTTTTTTTTTTGCACCTTTTGGGATGCACCTGTATCCTTGATAAGGAGGAAGGGAGTGACAACTCTTTCTATTTTTATTATTTTTTAAAACCCTCTCCTGTCTTTTTGGCTGATAGTAATTGCTCTTAGCCATGGGCAAGTGGCTATTTACAACTTTATATTGCCTGGTGTAATTGCTAGCATCCACCAGTTTGTTGTGAGGTTCTGTTGCTGTGAATCACTTTAGGTGAAAATGCACCTGAAATTGAAAGTGAATGAGTAATTAGAGGAGCCTTTGTCAACGTGGTGCCCTCAGGATGGTCTGGCCTCCCACTTCCATCAGCCCCAGCCAGCACCAGCTCTTCACCAGCACTTTCTATTCTGTTAGTATATTTATGTATTCTGTTTGCTCCTTATGTGCCAATGTGATTTTGTTTTTCAGGAAAAAAACATAAGGCTGAATTTCAGGCTTTAATTGACCAAGTGAACAAGAGAAAGAAAAATGCAAGTAAAATAAGGGAAGAAGGACCAGAGCAGGAAGAGGCAACTGCTCAAGAACTACCTATGGAGACTGGTACGCAGTGCTGATTAAGGCAAATTAATGTTGGATATTAATGTCTGGCGTTTCTGTGCGCTGCTCTGGTTCGCCAGAAGTGGCTTAGTCATGCTGGCCACATGACCTGGAAGCTGTACGCCGGCTCCCTCGGCCAATAAAGCGAGATGAGCGCCCCAACCCCAGAGTAGGCCACAACGACCTAATGGTCAGGGGTCCCTTTACCTTTACTAATGTTGGATATTAATTGTTCAAAGAACGGAAGCTTGATTTTCCAAGAGCTTGGTTTGTCAGGTTTCTGAAATATTTGCCTAACTTTAAGCCAGATTATTATTGTATTTATGTAAGTGTATTCTCAGCTGAGTCTGGAAAGGTAGTACAATAAGTCCTCAACTTATGCAAGGTTTACATTCCAGGGATTGCTCCTAAAGCCAAAATTGCATATAGCCAAAACACCAGTGGTGGGTAGGATTGCCAGAGTCTTTTTTCCTGGACTTCTGCTCCCGCCCCCTTTCTTCTTATTTTTTTGCCAAGCCTGTAAAGCTGAATCCACATAAGTTAAATGCATGTAAGTTGTGAGCTTACTGTATTTCAACATCGGCCATTGTCAGTGTTTCATTAGAATCCACTCTCTCTTTTAAATGTGAGCATGTAAAACCACTTGTTGGAAACTTCAGATTTCCTTATTAGCCCTTGACATAGGAAGGCATTTCTTCTCCTTGCTTAGTGGACACTTTAACCATGATGGGGCCTGAAATGTGTGGTATAATTTAGTACATTGTGGACTTCCAGCTTAGGGGGGAGTTGGGTGTTCTTATTACACCGAACCTTACTTTTATTCTGTGTTGTCTACCAGTAATTCAAAATAATCTTTCTTTCAGATCCCAGGCTGGTTCAGACACACATCAGAACACATCCTATGTGTTCTGAATTCAGAAACTCTGGGCTGTTCTGATCAAAGTTAGATAATGCAAACCAGAATCAAACTGTGTTTTTTGATCTTGGCTTGTTATTAAAATTATTATGGTTGTTATTTTTATCCCATATATGGGGAGCCTCATTTTTGACTGCATCTTTTGCATTTTCATGTTGGCAGTCGGTTTCGTTTAAGTTGTCTAAACCCCAGCCCTTCTCAAGTTAACAAGATTGCTATTTTGTCCTGTCAGAGGCTCTTGACTTGTTTCACTTAGCAAAAGCCCTCTTGAATAAAAATAAATAGAAATACCAAGATGTTTTTTGAACCTTATCGCTGACATCGTATGCAGTTCTTGAAGCCAAAGCAAGCTTGAGATGCTTCCAAGAATAAAAGTTATCACGTTTAGCCTGTTTGGCGATAGTTGTCCCGCTTTGTATATTTCGAAATATTATTGGATGGAAGAAGTCCAAACTTACATTCCTCTCTCTCTGCACTCTTTTTAGAAGGATTGTTTTGCAAAAAAACTAGCAAACCTATCAACACATTTAGATAACATAATAAAAGCCACAATACGAGGGTGACCTACAAGGTCAACAAATGTTCACAATTATCTCCTTTACAACAGATGGCATAGTTCTTTAAAAGCATGGTGACGCTGTATGTATTAGAATCATAGAATTGTAGAGTTGGAAAGGGACCACAAGGGTCATCTAGTCCAACCCCCTGCAATTCAGGAATCTTTTTGTCCAATGTGGGGCTCAAACCCATGACCGTGAGAGTAAGAGTCTCATGCTCTACGGACTGAGCTATCCCAGCCGATTGCATTGTAGTGTTATTTGCTCACTTATTTCATAGAATTATAGAATTGTAGGGTTGGAAGTTTATAAATCACTTTTCACCAGAAAATATCACAAAGGGTTTACAAAGAATTGGGAATCAAAGTGTGGGTCCACAGCAGAGGCAGAACTGAAATGTGGGTGCCACTAGATGCCCTTTGGTTTCAAGGCATATCTTAAATCAGGCTTGCGCACCTGATGTCCCAATACAGACCTCTGGTGATTTCTGGCGGCTCATCAGGGGGTTGACGTGTCCTTCTTGTTGCTTGCCTTGGGACTGGCAAATATCTGGCAAGCCACAAAACTTGGCTAGCGGCTTCATGCAGCTTATCTTCTAGGGCAGACTTCCTCAAACTCGGCCCTCCAGATGTTTTTGGCCTACAACTCCCGTGATACCTAGCTAGCAGGACCAGTGGTCAGGGATGATGGGAATTGTAGTCTCAAAACATCTGGAGGGACGAGGTTGAGGAAGCCTGTTCTAGGGCAACACTGTTTCCCTTGTTGTAGTACTGATGGGAGTTGTCTTCTTCTTCTTCTTTGGCGATCACTCATAGCCAAGTAAGATTGTTTTCCATAAACACGGTTTTAACAAGGAGTCCGTAAGTGACTGTGGAGGCCAATTTTGAATTCACACGTCCTTCCATGGTGGGGACATTGATTTCCAGGTGAGAGTTGATCCTGGTGTGGATTTGCCAAGTGTGCACTATTCTTCCATTGCAGTGCTATGGAAAGGGTGTACCATGAGATCAAGGATCAGCATAGTTCCCTCCATATGTTGTTGTAGTACTGATGGGAGTTGTCGTACATCAGCCCCAGCCAGCATGGCATGGTCAAGGACAACGGGAGCTGTAGTCCAACAACATGTGGAGAACACTGTTTTCCAGTTAATAACAATAGGTGATAGAATACCTAATTGTATCCATTATACCTAATCCAATAAGGTCTATTGAATGGCTGTAGACCTCTGATTACCATGGTTTGTTACAGCTCAACAATGAGCTTTCTTGGCATGTTCTGTCAAGGTGTACCATTCTTGGTTCTCCATTCGTAAAATGGAGGTCATAAGCATTTGAGCAACAGGATTTTTTTTTTTTTAATGTACTGTAAATATTGTGTGCTGATATATTGGCTTGGATCCTAACTTCCACTTGCAGCTTTATTGCCTTCCCCATTCACTGCAGCCCCCACCCACCCCAGCCTTCTTGAAAAGCTGCCCCTGAAGGATGGGGTTAGGAACTGAAGCGGATCTGAGAAATTGGTGAAAACTGTGGATTCTTCCTTGCATGAGCAAAATTACCTTCCCCTCATGCAACTGCACTTTGGGAGCCAAGCCATTGGACATTAATTGTGCTATGTAGAGGGCTAAGAGTGGTAATTCTAAAGCTTTGCTGAAGAGCACCCAGATAATATTTGAGTTACAAAGCTTTAACACCACATGACTTCTGTGTTCAGTGATTATGAGGAGAATAATTCAGAGCCATCACTGAGAGTGCTTCTTTTTTTCTAGTTTTCTCTATCCTAGTTTCATCTTGTGATTGGAAAAAACCCCACATCTCACTCATACAACAACACATGCATTCCGCTCACTCTCATTGGCTGTTTGTGCAGTAGTTGTTGTTTTGCAGTAGGGAGAGAAATCCATTCCTTGTAATTTCTCCTTTCACTTTAACGTTGAGCCTCTGTGGAGACAGATATATATGGAGACATTGTTGAAACAGTTGTTGAAGCCTCACCATAAGAAGTTTATTATAAAGTATGGATTTTTAAAAGGGCCGTGCAATGTGCAAGTCACAAAAGCCCAGTGTTTTCATCTCTGCATGTTCTAGTTATACACAGAAGACTACAGGTACATTGTGGGGGGGGGGGGGGAGATCAATTGAACAGTCGCTGAGTCAATTTACTTTAGGTTGTGCTTTTTTTCTTTCTTTCTAGGAGAAAAACTGAATGTCGAAGAACAGACAGACTTGGTCCCCCATACAGATTCCTCTTTCAAAATAGACGCTCTCGATTGTGGAGGAAGCCAACCTCCTGATTACTCTGAAGTTAGAGGATTGTCTCCTACTTCCTCCCATCAGTTCTCTGAATCTTCAAGCAGGTTTGTCTGCATGAAAGCCTTTTGGGTTTGTATTGCCTTTTCTCATCACAGGGCATGGGACCATAAGTGTAAGATGACCGTTGAAGGTGAGAGGACTTCATTTATATAGGTAATTACAGGGCAGAGAGGGATGCGGGTGGCACTAGGGCTTGCTGATCGGAAGATCACAGTTCAAATCCCCGCGATGGGGTGAGCTCCCGTTGTTCAGTCCCAGCTCCTCCCCACCTAGCAGTTTGAAAGCACGTCAAGTGCAAGTAGATAAATAGGTACCGCTCCGGCGTGAAGGTAAATGGCGTTTCCGTGCGCTGCTCTGGTTTGCCAGAAGTGGCTTAGTCATGCTGGCCATGTGACCCGGAAGCTGTCTGCGGACAAAAGCTGGCTTCCTCGGCCTATAGAGGAAGATGAGCTCCCAACTCCAGAGTCATCCGTGACTGGACCCAACGGTCAGGTGTACCTTTACCTTTACAGGACAAAGAACAGCAGAGTTTAATGGCATATTACAGTCTGCTTTGGAAAATCATAGAATCATAAAATTGTAGAGTTGGAAGGGACCTTGAGGATCATCTAGTCCAGCCCCCTGCAGTGCAGGAATATGCAGCTGTCCCTTACGGGGATCGAACCTGCAACATTGGCATTATCATCACCACGCTCTAACCATCTGAGCTATGTTTAGATGCTGTGGAAATGGGGTGGGGGGTTCTCTTGAAGAAACATACGCCCAAAATGCCATCTGCTCCCAGAAGTCATTGTGAATACTTTGTATCTCAGCCAGTGTTTTCTTTCCACCTGCAAGTGGACTTAAGCACATTATCCCATTATCTCTTCCATGAATGTGCTGTGCTCCAACTTGCAGGCAGTTTCAGACCACCAATCTTCCAAGCTCAGTATTATTTACTTGAGAGGTGGGGAAACGTGCTTATTAAACTGATTATCCCTGACCATTGGTCGTACTGGCTGGGATTGATGGGAATTTAGTCCAACGACATCTGGAGGCCATCAGGTTCTTTCCCCCTTGTTTTACATTGAGTAGCAGTAGCTCTCCAAGGCCCCTGAAGGGAAGTTTTCTCTGAGCCCTGCCTGGTAATGCTTAGGACCTTCTCTTTGCAGAACATGTAATCTACTACTCAACTATGACCATTCCTTTGAAAATTTGTAGTTAAAACATGCAAAGAAACTCTGAAGTTAAAATAAGAATAAGAATAATAAAAACCCATCTTATTAAGGCTTGTGCCTTTATGACACTGCAGCTTGGGAGTATTGGGGAGTTAATTAAGGTCTTTTGCAATTTCTTTACACCTTTGGCATGATTTCATATTGTTCAGCTATGGGTCGGTGTCTTTACTTTGGGGCCCTCATGTGCACATGATTTGTCCATTCATGCTTCATGGGTGACCTTTACTTGACTTTCATATTTGTTTTCAATACAAAAGAGAATAATTAAACAGAAATGCACATGAGAATGTAAAGTATGTGAAAGAATTTTGAGGGGGAAATTTGGCAATGACCATGGAGTTCTGAGAAAACAGCTTTTGAAAATGTAAATTTGCAACATGTTTTAAGGAACAGATGTTTCCCATTGCTACCATATCTCTGGCTAGCAGAATGTTTGTCCCTATGTACTGCAGTCAAATCATTGACCATTGTTAGTATAGTTTTTTTAATCCATTTTGGCTATGACTTTGAGGAAAGTTGTGCCTCTTATGTCTGTGTCTGAAAAGTCAAATTTTATGAGCCATCAACTAACAGAAACAAATGAATTCACAGCCATTCTTGCGGTAGCAGCTTATTTTAGAAAGAAAGGCACATAGGAATCTGCCTTGTACAAAGCAAGTATTGTCTACTCCTACTGGCAGTAGATTTGTAGGGTCTCTTTCATATCATCTGCTACCTGATCCTTTTAACTGTATATGTCAGGGGTTGATGAATTAAAAAAACCAAGTCAACAAATCACCAAGTCAAGATGGTATCCTTCCAAGAGTTTTTAAAGAACTCAGATGTGAAGCTGTTGACTTTCTTACAAAAAACAGGTGTAACTTGTTTGTAAGATCAGCCTCCATACTTGAGGACTGGAAAGTGGCCAGTGTAGCACCAACTTTTAAAAAGTGATCCATGAAATTGCAGGCTGATTAGCTTAACATTGTTTTGGGGGAATGTTTGGAAAGCCTTATTAAAGACAGAATTGCCATATTAGAAGAATACGTCTTGCTGTGGACCAACTTGGCTCCTGCAAGGGTTAATATTGTCTGACCAACTTTTTAGAGTCCTTTCAGAGAGTCAGTAAGCATGTGGCTAGGAGCTGACATTGTGTATTTGGATTTTCAAAGTAAACTTCCAAATCAACTTAACAGACATGGGGTAAGAGGACAGGAACTCTTTATTGCAGGTATTAATATTGCACAGCTTGAAGAGAATGGATGAATAAAAACTGACTTTTTTCGGAATGAAACATTGTCCAGACCTATTAGATATTATTCAGAACTTTACTTGAAGAACTTTCTTCAAAACAGAAAAAAGTAAATGATACATCCAAACAGTTCCATAACAATAGGCTTAGGGCAGCATAGGCTCAGCATCAGAATCAGGATCAAAATTTTGTCTCTCTGAGATTCCTGCATTACAAGGGGTTGGACTAGATGACCCTTCCAACTCTTAAGATTCTATGATTCTCGCCCCCATTACAGTCTGAGGCTGTGAGTTCCTGATGTGCTTCATTATTTACATCCTACATCCATGGAGCCTAGGAACAAAGTCTCTAGCCACCACCCTTCCAAGATGGCGAATTTGCAATTCAGTGGCCTCCCATGTGATCTAAAGTTAAACACCTCCTCAGAGCTACCAGAGAACAATAACAGTTAATTAACAACCTGTCAAGGAGCTCAGAGAGCT